GAAAATTGTTGATTATAAAAAAAAAAAAATGTTATCAGGTGTTTTGGCCGAGTTGCGGGGGGTTGTTGGTGACAGTTGGCTCCAATATGAATGGTTGCATTTTGCAAAGCGTTGCCAGCTACTCAACTGAGTAGAAACGGAAAAGAAAATACGTGGTGCCAAAGAACGTAAATGTATAACAAAGAACGTAAATGTATAAGAAGCGACAACTCGTTACTTTGAAAATGTGCCGGGACGATTTTGACCGTATCTGAAAGGTTGAGATGAGGAGTTCGTCTCCCTTTTAACTCTGTCCGCGGCAGATTTTTGATTTTCGCCTCGAATGCGGAAAAAGCAAACAAAACAGAAGAAAAGCGGCAAATGTGAATGTCGGTGATTATTTTGCACAAGTGATTGAGAAAATGTATTTTAATTCAGAAAATACATAAATGGAGGTGCAAAATATAAAATATTCAGTGAATGTGTAAGATACTGACGTGCCTGTTTGTGAAAGTGTCCTTATTAATAGTAAAATGTGTTTGTAAGTGCCAAGTGTTTGTCAGCAAGTGCCGATTGTTGGCGTCTGTGGATAAAAGTGATCATTATTTTAAACAAAACCAGTGTACTTTTATATAAAAATGCATTAGTTTAATAAGAAATCTATGCATTTAAATATGAGTGTACTTATGTTTTGTTTTCATCTGGAAATTTACATATTTAAAATGTGCAAAAAAATGGTGTGTTGGGAGATTTGATGGATAAAGTGTGTATACGGCGGCTTTATTACAAAACCAATGTTTATTATATACAGATAGCATAAGTTTAATTTAAATCTATGCATTTATACATGAGTATGCATACATTTTGTTATTATCGGGCAAGAATAAATGTTTTCCAATTTTTTGTTCATATGCATGCAAAAAATAAACACATAAATGTGAAGTATGAGTTGTCTCCGTCTTTCTCACATCCTCCGCCAAAGCAAACGCTTAAATGTGAAACATAAGTTGTCTCCGTCTCTCCCACGTCCTCCGCCATCTTTATCATGACAAATTCTTAAATTCCTGCGAAATGCCGCGTCCTGACATATTTACGCGCATACATATGTACGTTTACAGTAGGCTACTCCTAACTTGAATATCTGTAGCAAATTCTGCTTGTTACCGGAAATTTTGTAACCAGCAAATTTTGTTACCAAACATTGTTACCACTTCTTGTAACCGCAATTATAGGTACCGTGGTAACGTTTTAATTTATTCAGCATTCCAGGTATGAAGTTTTGTAGAAATTCTGTTGTTGCATATTTCATGGGGCAATATTTTGTTACCTGCTTATGAGATGGTAATAAATTTTACTGGTTACAAAAGTGCGCAGAATGCGAAAAGGGTTTAAAAAAAGAGAGGAGCTTTATTATCCGTTAAAAAAATCTGATTACCAACGCAGAATAGGTTAATGTACGATTTTGTGTTTGAATCTTTTCATGATAGTAAACAATATTTGTGTTACCAACGCAGAATAGGTCTGTATGTCTACTCTCACTTATACATGCTTCAGAGCTTTACAATTATCAATAATGCAAAATAATTAAATTTTTTGAATTCCTTTACATGTTACTCGTAGTATCTAGAGTCAACTGTAAACAAATCGTAAGCGATCGGTTTACAAAAATTTTAAAATTGATGACCGAAGCTGGTGACGGCAACCATGTTGCCAAATTACATTTGTTGTAAAACCACTTATGTATGTGATTTCAGAAGTTTTGAGTTTACATCAAAATATCGGTGGCCATTTGTGCAAAAAATGCATGTTTATTTTGTTTTTTATTAAAATAAAATCTTAAACAACTAATTAATAATTTAAAAGTTGGAAAGGCACTGCGATTTAGAAGTTTAGAGAATAAATGTCTTAACTCGAGATAAGTTATTTTTGCAAACGTCCTCAGATTTTACTGCTGAGTTGCAACTTTTCATTTGACTGGCTGTGATTTCTTCAATTTTACATTTTAGAATTTTTGTGGCCCTCGCGCAGAAATTGTGCTTGTGGGCGATGAGTTTGCGGGGAGAAGTATGGTCATTGAATTTATGAATGAATGAGTTTAACCTTGAAGAATATGCGCATGCGTTTATGAATGAATTTGTTATTGTTGTATTTTAGTGGCATATGCGTATATGTACATATGTACGTATGTACGTATATTTGCATGGATGTAGAAACATACACATGTTAGGAGGAAAATCGCAAGAGTACATTTGTACAAATTGATGTAGATTATTTATTGATTATAAAAGTACAACTGGTTGATATAAAAAGGGTAATTTCATCCATAAATTACAACTTTACAACTTCCATACTAAAGAGGAAGCTTATAAAGGTCTTGCATAGCGCATGTATTTAATTTACTTATATTTGTTTAAAATTATAAAATCAAGTAAATCTATGCACATGCGCATGCAAATTGTTAAATGCCGTCAGCAAATAAACAAAAAGAGTTGCGGCCATGTTTTTTTTCATTTCATTTGATTATTTCTATCATCGGTCACTTTTTCTTATCGTTCTTTATCGCCGCGAAACCATATGTGCGGCGAATTCATTTACGAAAATGGATGTTAAAACGGACGCGAACTCCTCATCTCAACCTTTCAGACCTCACTCGCCGACTTTAACGAGTTGTCGCTTCTTATACATTTACGTTCTTTGGTTTCAACGAAACCTTACCATCCTTAGCATAAATCAGCTGTTCAATTGTCTTGTTTTGACGCTTCCAATTGTTTACAATTTCAGCAGATATTAAACAAAAGAGTTTATGAGCTAGTCTGCTCCACAATAACCATAAAAAAGCACGGAATTGTGCCCGCGTTTCTTTTTTCCAACTGCGCTTCATGTTTTTGGTATGTTGTTATTACCTAAATACATTTGCTAAACATTAATATTTAAATTTTCCTTAAGTTATGGAACCGTTCATTTTCTCGCAATGCAAATCCTGCTGCGGAACGTACACGCGAAACTCTAGGTGAAGATTTTGTGCGAAAATTAGATGCATTGCACGATGACGCCTTACGCACGGGCCTAGTTACTACCGCAGATTTACAGGAAGCATACAGAAAGTCACGCGATACTGATCGCGATCCAAATAAAATAAATTTATGGTACGTGTTGGGCATCCTAGCCTTCATAATGATAGTGACGCCCGTATTCTATGAACTAATTACATTCCTCTTGGGTGTGCGTTGCTTTTTACCCAATAATTATATTGTGTGGGAAGCAACGCGCCCTATAAGTGATTGCGGATTTTGCAGGTTTTTAATACAAATATGGAAGTGTGAAATTATGTACTAAACTATTATCATTTCCAGAGATGTTTCTGGACCAAAGGTTTTGCAAAATATGACACGTGAAGAGTTCGCACCTTATGCGTATTCATCACAACCAATTATAATAAAAAATGCAG